ATTTTAAATGGAAAATTAAATTAGAAAGAATTTTTTTTTTTAAATAATCACTTTATTCATATAAATATAATATTGAAAAAAAATAAATATTTTTCTCTTTGAATTAATTTAATAGATTTGGTGCCTATCCAAAATAAATATTAAATTTTTATTGAAGGAAAGTACAATCATTAGAATACTTATTGATGAAAATTAATTCATAACTAAGTATCATCAACTAATTCAAAACAATAATTATTAAAGTAAACCTTTTTGAAGGATGGTTTAACTTGAAAATATAAAGCTTCTCATAAAATATTCATAGATGCTTTATCAAAATATTGAAAAATAACATCAATGTCACGTATTTGATTTTTGATGGAACTTTGAAATATCAGTTTACTTTCCTTCCAAAATTACAATAATTAGTTTCCCTTTTGGAATTAAAAATGTTTCCAAGGATAAAGGAATAGTTAATACCAAAAATAAGTGTAGTAATAAGGATATTTTCAATATGGTAAAATTATTTGCTTAATAACTCATAAAATTCTCTTTCAAATATAATTCAAAAATATTTATTATTTAGAATTAATCTACTGTAATAAGAATAACATCATCATTTTTTGGTACTTGATTTCTCATGAATTTATATCAGATCAATAAGTTCTGACTTAGATATAAATTAGTATTTTTCAATCTTACAACGTCAATCACCTGTTAATAAATGTAAAATTATGTAAATAATCATATGATTAAAATATCAAAATTCTCTTTGCTTAATTATAATTTAATTTTAAACTTTAATTCTTGATGTAATTTAAAATTTTTATTCGTAAAATTATAATGAATAATCATAAAAATGACACTGTTAACAAAAATTAAGTTTTGCAAATTTGTTCTCATTATTCGTAAGAATTATTTATTGCATTAACTTTCATATTTTTATTGAAAATTTTTTCAAGTATATTAGTAATTCAAGAATTAATTTTATTATATTAAAATGAATGAAGACGATATAGAATTTAAATATTTTATTCAATATTTTCTGATTAAAAAATACAATTATTAATTTAATTTATAAGATGAACTCTATGAATGATGAATTTGAAAGGGAACATAATTATTGAGTAATAAAAATTAATTTGATTGAGATTAAAAAATAATGATAGATTGGAAATAGTCAATTTTAAGGCTAAATACTTTATGTATTTTTATTTATAATCTTCAATTTGTTCTTGGAGAATTTCTTTAATTGATATCAATTGAAAGCACAGCATTTCGATCATATCTTTATCCGCTAATACAGACATCATCTATTGATATTATATCTAAACTATCCTTTCTCATTTTTAATAAATCTACTATCGTTTAATCTATAGAATTTATCAATTTCATATTAATAGGATTATCTAGATTTTCAACTAAATCTTTAAAAGCAATTTCAGCATCAACTGCTTTCTAATAATCGTTTTTTCTTGGTTTTAATATCGAATAATAATTTTAAGTGATGCTAAATTATGCTGAATCCGGATCTAATGGAATTGTAGGCTTTTACACATAATCAAAAATCTTTATCTAAGATTCTGTTAACAATATCATTTTCAATTTATCTATTTCCTGCAGTTTCTTTAGTATAAATAAAATATCCATTTACTTAATTATTTTTTTAAAAGAATATTAAATTTGAAGACTTTTATAATTTTTGGAACTAAATGATATATATAATTTACTTAACAAAGCAGTTTATGAAATACAAATAATCAGTCCATTTCATTTTCAGCTTTTTTGAAATGCTAAGAAAATATTATTTAATTGAAAAGGATATAGCTTTCGTTAATTAATTTTTAGTTTCTTCCTTTGATTAAGGATCTAAAGCTAGGGATTCTATAGCTTCAATTTGTTTCTTCTTTCTACTAATAGATTATAATCTTTAAAGTGGTTTTTTTTTATTCTGAGTAAATAATACTTCTTTGGTTGATTGCAATTATTATCTTGTCGAAAATTCTTATTGTAAGGTTTCTGGATTAGGATGTTCTTTTCTTTAATTTTTAATTGGTTTTTTTTACTCTTACTCAAATTCAAATAACGAATTCAAAATTTTAACATAATAAGATAACATATTTACAGGTTTTGATATAAGAAAGGCAACAGTAAAAAATACCTACCAAAGTCCACCCATTTAACTTATTATAATTTGAATTTTGGTGTAGTTTCTATAATATTATTATTCAATTTAATCTAATCGTATTACAACATTCATAATTAAATCACTCTCATTTAAGTCAATCATTTCTGTATGTCTTTTATATCTTAAGGTGTTTTAAACTTTGTAATCTTCATTGATGAGTCCTATATCTGTAAATACTGTTATTGGCTACAGATAAATAGATATTTCTTTAAAAATCTTACTAGAAATAGTAGTGAAAATATCTTCTCCTTTTGATAAAAAAGGATGCTTAGCGTTTTTAACATCTACAACATATGAAGGCATTTAAAAAGAAAAATAGTTTTATTCTAACTATTTTTTAATTTCATCCCTTGATTTGCATTCTTTTGATTTTTTTGTTAAATCGTTGCAAATTTTAAATTCTAATAAAATAGCACGATAAACTAAAGAATCAAAAGTACCTTCCAAATCAAGCTCTTTAATATTATTCCAATCAATACAATAGTTAGTTGTTAAATCTAATTGAGAAAAATATTGTTATAATTCAACTTATCGAATGAGCTCTGGAGTGCACCTTGTTAAAGGAAGATCTTGTTAAATCCATTCTTCAATTTTTTCATTACCAGCACTAATAGTTGAATTCATTTAATACATTCTAGTGATCTTAGTTTAAATTTTGGCTTCTACAACATAGACTGATTCATCTATATATGTTTTAAAAGAGGGAGATTAGATAGCAAAAGTTAAGGTAAAGTTTTTTTCATCTAATTTGAATTATTGTGGTTATGCATGATAAATCTCAGTTGACAGTGAAGTTAGATTTTTTCCTTGCCTCAAATCAAATAGATTTACTATTATAAGGTAGAGGAAGAAAGATATCAATCCAAAAGTCAAACAAGCACCAAATAAGGTTTTATGCCCCTATTCTTATTTTATTATTAAAATTGTTCATGCTTTCTTTTAAAAAATGACTAATCTAACTATAAATTTAATAGGATGCTTATATTTTGATTAAATAAATGATAATAAAAATATTGGAAGATTTTCGAATGAATTATTTCAAAAATAAAAAATTTCAGATTAATGTTGATTATAGCTTTCCCCTTCCGTATTGAATAACAAAGGAAAAAAACTTTCTTTATTAATCAAAAGTTTACAAAAAGGATGAAAAGGAAAAAATAAAGAGTTATAATGTTACTATTTGAAATTTAAAGGACATGAAAGCTATATTTGGAATCATATAAATAAAAGGTAGATATGAAACTTTGACAATTCAAGAAATTAAGACTAATTTTATAATGTTAATAACTAGAGTGTTTAAATTTCTTTAATTCATCAAAAGGAAAGAGACGAGCATACAGGCTAAGTGTTTTAATATTTGTAGGCATACTGCTTATATAAAATAATTAAAAAACCTGAGTAATGAAAAATAATTCAAAGCTTATTATAAACGAAAAAATGTAAATATTAATTGATTAATAGGAACATAAGTTCTTAAAATGAGGCTAAGTTGGAAAGGAAGATTACAATATTTTTAGCAATAACTATTAGATTGTATTGAATTATTTACTACTTAATAAACTGATGAAACTAAGATTTATTTATGAGATACTTTTAAAAAGAATGAAGCCGTAAAACTCCTTAATTTAAAGCAATCATAGCAATTTAATAGATTTTGAAAAAATCAAATATTATTATTTTAGATTTCAGATTCAGTTAAAGAATTATAAATTAAGGGAACATAAATTTGTTGTAATAGTGGAAACGGAAATATATAACCACAGATGATCAAATGTATTAAAATGCAAATAAATTTTAGAAAGTAATATACAATTAGAATTTATAAAGGACAATGAAAAATAATTAAATAGAAGGAAAAGATCAAATAATTTTTGTGATAGAGAGTATGTGGAAATGTAATATCATTCTTCATATTTAGTATTAAAAAGATTTACAATAAGGATACTCTTGAAGGATTGTATTTAGATTCCAATACAATCTTTTTAATTAAAAAGATTCTATAATGTATTAAAATATCTCTATATATCTCTATATATTATTGAATTGGATTATGGAGTTTTCAATTTTGAGATTGAGTAAGCATATTATTTATAAAGTTTGACTATTGAATAGCTTAATGAATCTGTGACCAACTATTTTGCTTTTGAATCAGAGAATTCAAAAGCCTTACTGAATTTATGTAATTTATTATAGAATTTAATAAAAAATGATATTAATCCAATTTTCTGTAGTGATGTAAAACAGATGCTAATACTCCTGGAGAGACGATGGAGTGAGGGAGAATATGATTGGATGTTTGGATCTTTACCTGAACGGTATCTATTCTTGCACGCAACACCACTTGGGAGGTATGAGAGCTATTTATTGAAAAATGAAATTTTATTTTAGAATTTGATAAATGAAATAAAGTTTTATGAAAACGTTAAGATGATTTGTTGAG